TTATTTCCGAATTCAATAGGAATTTCGAAAAATATTTCTCTCTTAACTGAATCATAGACTTCTTTGAAGTCCTTACGTAGCTGATATACTGCCACATTTTATCAGCATCTGACGAATGCAAAGTAAACCTATCTGATCAGTCGTTGATAGGTTATGTTACTTCGAAATCTACGATGACAATTCCGAGCAGCGTAGTTTATGTAAGGAATTAACGTTCAGATAAGAATATTGAAAAGACCAGCCCTGAAAATGGAGGCAGTATGTTTCTCCGAAACTTTGGAATCTACCTAAAGTCCATATGGCATCGTAACTCACAAGATCGACATCTATAACACAGTACGACGAAGGGACCAGTACAAAGAGGAGGGGCGAAGTTACCAGATGGGCGTAATGGTGTGGCGCTCCAGTTGAGTTGTAATAATTATGTTCACGTGCGCCATATGTGGGTCAAATCCTCTGCTTCTAAATCACCACTGATGTCACACGTCAGTCTCAATGTACAGCATTCATATGGCATCTGATACCGAAAGTGCATTCATGCGTGTTCTGTCATACACTAACAAGATGAACACACATCGCATTTAATAAACTTCCCTGCGCATTTGATCTGTTGTTATCTGCAGTGAGAACGTTTGTTGATAGATGTATTGTACCGTACTTATTAGTCGCCTTCTTGAAGCCCACTTGTCGGCCGAAATATTAAGTAGGCCTACTTTTGTGATGGTGATAAAAGGGTTACGCATTCTGCGAAGTAACTCTTGAAAACTGCGGACTGGAGCAACTCATTTACTGACGTAATGCATTTTGTAAAGCTGAAGTTTATTTAAACTGCGTGTCACACGAAGCGGTTTGCGTGTGCATTTAGAAGACATGGCGTGACAATAAATTACAGATATAACCACCCCATCAAATGTCTAAACTGATAAATAATAGTGCAAATATCAGCAGAGGTGGTGGTGGTAGTTGTGTAAGCCACCGCACGGGAAACCGCCCTAAAGTGTTTTTGCTTTAAAGCATTACTTAAAACATAATGACTATTATATCTGACAAAATAATAATTGTACCCGAGCCCTGTAATTCAATTGGCCCATAGAAATTATGTTATTAAACCTGTTTTTAAAATTTGTAGTCTGTATGTGCTTCTGCTGCTAAGAAATTAACTAGAGTGTTGTGAAATGTGCCCGTCATTCCACGCTCATCGACACATAAATCAGTTGCTTTCATTCTGTACAGTGATGTTCAGTTGAAGAACTTCCTTATGAAAATATTGACTGTGGGGTCGATGCAGTCTTTAATTCTGGGTTCTTCTTCATTATCTCGCCGCCACTAAAAGGAAATTCTGCAATAGTGATATTGACATTTTCGTTGTTTCTTTACAGCTTCTTTGTTTTTAAAATGAATGTTTTGTCACACCAGATTTTTGGGGCGGAAAACTTATTTCTTCTCAGAGATAATTTGAAAAATGCTATACTTGCAGAACAGATTTTTTTCTTTCCAAAGTATGGCTTGTAGCCTACGTATTAGCGGGTGAACCTAAAATGGCGCCGAAAGTGAGATTTACAGTTCTCACAGCGGCGAATATAAAGATGGCTGTCTTATGGGTTATTACACCGTGTAGTCGGACAGAAATTTACCGACATTTGAGAGGTATTTTCTGCCTTCTTCAGGGCGTAAGCATCTCTGAAACGTCGGTAAACGTCAGACTGCACGGCGTAACAATCCAGAAAACACCCATCCTCATGGCGTCGAAGAGATTATCGTAAAATGTTGTGCGTCAGTAAGAACATTCTGACTTGGGTTAGACCAGTTTTGGTTGTGCTACTTAAAGGTTAGGCCTATATGTAACTATCATAAACCATGAAGGTAATATGTCTTTTACTAGCAGAATCGAAGCTTGCCTACCCTAAGTCAGTATTATCTTACTGACGCAGAGCACCGCTACGACGAACAATCATTTCGACGCCCAGCGTAAAGATGATAACATAACAGGTCGGTTCGTGCGCATTATTTGCCAGCTGCACATTTATTTTTAGTGGCTTGGAGGTAATGCTCAAGAACCCAATTCTGTAAAAGGTTCTTCTAAACCCAGTGTTCTATTTTTCTTTCTCTTGGTCCTAGCTGAGTTTGCCCCCCTCCCAGTTTTCTTCTTCCTACGATCGGTATTTGTTTCTGCAGCCCAGCGTCTTTCACGCACGGACTGGCATAAATCCTTAAGGCTGATTAGTTTTCATGTAAGTGAGAAACTTTTTCCTTTAGTCACCAGTCCTTTTAATGCTCAGTTATAGTGGAACAGTGTTGAGGATTGTTTGTGAAGTTCGGGATATTATCTAAGGGATTGAAAGTAACAAAACTTTTACATTCCGCGAAGGTTGTAATAAAAGCAAAGAGTTTAGGCCAGAACTGATGAAGCCTAATTTCTCAATCGGCCCTGTGTTTTGTTGTTAGTGATATATTTAGGTAATATATGTGATAACCCCACAAGTAGCAGAGTAGCTTATGGGATAGGTACATGCATAGGAATCCTGCTTGAGTCTGAATTATCTTACTACTTCAAACTGTAAGCATTACAGCTTGTTGTCATTGCTAATCAGAGTTTTTATTTTTGTTTTGCGAAGGACAGTACATTTGAGTACTACAGGTTCTCTCTTACATTGAACGTTTTGCGTATCACCTCAAAGTTCCTTACCGTCATATTCGTAATTCTTGGCTCCTGAATTATATACTTACATACTTTGTAAGAATATAATACAAGTCATATTCGTAATTCTTGGCTCCTGAACTATATACTTATATACTTTGTAAGAATATAATACACAATTTGAAACACTTAGCTCCAGTAATCCATTAGTCATTGCTGTGAAACTAAAAACGAAATTAAAATTTCGCACAATCTCCATATTGTTATATGTCATTCAAATTCCGTCAAGAAAAACAGCATATTTTTCGAAAGTGCCTTGTCATTATTTTAGGAGACTATCCTAATGGTCGCTGCCACTTCACAAGTTCGTACGTCCGCCGTGTTCTTCTTACTAAATGTACGGAATTTAAATTTTCAATGTCTGGGTAACAAGGTATAACCGACTACGTACTTAAAAAGTTGAAATGGAGACGCACATAGGCTTCAGAGAGGAAAGTAGACTGAACATTGAAACATTGTTCGTAGTACAGTAAGAGAGGATTATGGGAAAGTTCGTTTAAAACTCGACGCTCACTGCGCGCCACGGAAACTTTGCAGTACCGTAAGCTTCTTACACAATAAATGCAAATTTCTCTTTTAATACTCGCGTTCATATTCAAATCACGTCTGTTATTAATTTACGAGAATTTGAACATATAGGCCTACAGGGTTATTACCATTTTAATGCCTTTGTACATTTAATGTGATTTGTAATAGACCGAATTTAAAGTGAGTAGAACAATAAGACGGATGTGTTATGAGAATGGGAAGTGGCTCTTGTTCAATTGTCGTTTTAGCGGTGTTGACCCTTCAGTATCTGCTACCATGATGGCAGACAGTAGACCACAATGGTTGTCAAATGAAATCAAATAATGTCGGAAGGTGGCTAGTCACTTTATTGATCCCATGCTATTTTTTTAGCTTTCAGAAATGGTCGAGGAACACGTCGCTATAGGCCTGTGCAATTAAAACATGTTAATCACAGCAGCTTCACTCTAGTTTAATATTATGCAGTGTGATTTTCTGTGTTATGATGGTGCAGAACAATACTAATAATGATAGACCCTGCTTTCTTCCAAAATATTAACTACTTGCTGTACTACTCGGCGTCAGAACACAAACCAAATTCTCACCGCCGTGAAAACCTCGAATTTATTATACTTTAAAACGTCGTTTTACGTTTTATATTTTATTTACTAGACGATGGATAACATCCAAGAAATTTTTTATTCAAATGACTCATCACCATCGTCAAGAACTTTTAGATTTGATATACTTTAATAATGTTCTATTATATACTTCTCATAAGAATGTTATGTTAAACGTTGCCCATTTTATGGGCCATATTTACGCATGACATTTCGGGAGTTGCCTCTACTCCCATCTTCAGGTTGCCGTTACACCGATAGATTCTCTGAATGTCTTTTGACGATGGTATTATATTACCGCTTTATTTGTTTTAAATTTTATCCACATCCCATTTTTAAAAATGTTTTCATTTTTATGGTTTATGGAGGGATGAAACTGCTGACGCTAAGTATACGTGTGTCTCGACAGACAGAATGGGGTGCTTCGCCCTCATGTTATGGAGAAGAATCCTGCTTTCTTAGAGGCATATTAAACACAATTCGGCAATATAGAATTAATTTATATAAATAAAATTAATATTAATAATGAAATATAATGCAGGAGATGTTAGAATGGTCTAAAATATATTTTCCTTTTTGTGTTGTGATTTTTATTCAAATCTGTTGCGATTTTAAACAGTGTAATAATTTGTAGGTTGGTTAGCCTTACCACTGCACCTGATTTAAATGAAGGTAAATGCGTCATTTATTAAACGTTTATCTGTTTTTCCTCCAGTTGCAGGAAGCTTACGGAATTTAATACAAAACACACATTCTACAAAGATAAATAAACGACAAATTACTCACAGTTCTCAATATAATACATATAAAGTAATGTAAGAATAGTATAACCTATATTCATTAAAGTATATCTTAAACTTCTACTATCCAGCTCTTACACAAGTCTTGGGACATGAAAATAGGCTTTACACTAACATCAAATATAGAGAATCTGGCGCTAAAATTTAGTTTTGGTAATTTCACTGCAACGTCGTTCTGTGTATTACACATTCTAAGTAATGGGAACTTTCTGAATGTTTGTGGTTTTGGAATGTGGAACTAGAAAGCATGTCGAGTACGTGGATTTCGTTTCTGTACTTGAGCTCTGCTACATGTCGGTGTTACTGTATGTAATGAGTGACGCAGTTGATCACAGAGTGCACTTGGGATCTGTGTGATGTGTTTCGTATGTGCAGACTGGACGACTCAAGTTCCCGCATGGCGCTGTGGTGTTGGCGCGCTGCCGGGAGCTTGGAGTTTACAAGTTACTGGGGGAGTCAGCACTTCAATGCCAGAACGGTGTTTGGAACCATCGTGTGCCGTCCTGTATTCCAACCACAATGCTTACCAACTTCACCGGTAAGAAATTGCAGGTTTTTACGAAAAGTGTTTCTTTTCGACTTCTCGCCTACAGATCACATATTTATTTTTATGTACTCCTCCTTAACTTATGTAAAGACCATTGAAATTCAACGAGGAAATATTTCTTTAGTATCCTAATCATTATCGTGTTTTGTAATTTCTGTTATTAATTTCTTACTTTTTCTCCTTCACTCCAAAACGTGCCATTACAAAATAAGATCGATAAATATAACAGGCAGTGCTATATGTTACATAATTTGAACGTCTTACGCGCAACTCACTCTCATTTAAATACAGAGTAAGCAAGAATTAAAATATGAACTTGGGCATTACTAAGCGTTCTTCACGGTTTAGCACGAGAAAAAATAAACACGTTACATGCCTGTCCATGTCAGTCAGTCGGTCGCGTCTTTCATAAGTTGTTGGGGCACATTGTTACAAAAATATATCCCGGGGTCATTATTGGTTCACATTGTTTCAGTAACGACCTTGGATGCCTTTAATGCCATTTCTTCAGCTGTTATTCCCTTGGTTGCCCCGCTGACGCCAGTGTCCCTGATGTGGCATGAATAATATCTTTGGAATTTCTCTGTATTCAAAAGAGCACACCTTTCCAGTCTTGAATAATTCATACGATTCTTCGGAGTTGTTACACTCACTTGATTATTAACACAGACTCAGTCACATCAGGAAAGCACAGGTTCTTCTAACGGAAACTTTGTCGTGATTATGAAACGAATCACATGAAGATTGCTGTCGTCTGGGTTGTTGCGCCGTGTACTCTGGTAGAAGTTTACCGATGTTTCAGAGGTCATTCCTGTCTCCATCAGCAAGGACCTCTGAAACGTCGGTAAACCTCTACCAGAGTACACGGCGGAACAACCCAGAAGATAGAAATCTTCAGACTCACCGCTGCGAAAACCTCAAATCCTACAAGGAATCACATATTTACGCCTTCAGTTCTCTCCCAGGGGAGGCTATGTGGCAGTGGTCCGCATGTTGCTGAGAGACTGTAGATTTAATTATGAATTGTTTTTATTGGTTTTCAATGAGAAAAGTGATGAAAAGTCACAGTGAGTATAGCTCGCCTCAGACCCCAGTCTTTTCAGTATACTTTCTTCTGCTTCGCAGAGAGTGGTTTGAAATGTACACGAAGGAATTGGAGAAAGTGTACTGAAGGAAAATTAAAGTTGGAAAGGAAATTTAGGGAAGGAAAAGGGGGAGAGTGTCAAAGAGAATTTCAAATGATACATCTAAAACAGCTGTGTGTCCAATATCTGCCTCCTCCAGCAGTAGATGTGAATATTGTGAGGGTTTGTAGCATGGAATGCGATAAAAATCACATTTCTTTAATTACTTATTTATTTAAAAACTCTGTTAATGTACTCATTTGACTCTTCAGTGTTTAAGAAATGACAGACTTGTTAAATTCAGTTACTGAATATTCATCCTTAAGTCTGTGGAACGACAAACCACTGATTACGGGACGTACGGCAAGAAAGAAACATTGCTACAAACAATGAAAATGTTACTTTAATTAAATGAATAGAGATGATGTTTATAAAACATATATAAGCAGCCAGTTATATATTTAGCATAGACGAGGTACCTCAAGTAGGCCCTAGAGATTCCCAAACTTTATCATTCTACAGATAACTGCCATGAACATTTTGAATACTCGAATTCCGGTATTAATCGATATGGTTGATTGAGTCTTGGACCACTTAGCGACATATTTTCAGCTGATTAGATTAAGTAGCTTAGAATTTATTGATAGAAGGAAAGGGTAGTGTCGTGTTTGAAGGTATTACCCTGTTATATGCCTCGCAGGATCCAATGAAAATCACGGAAGACCTAGCATATCCAGGCTTCTTGCCGAGATTTAAAACAGAGACATCCCCGAATACGAAGCAGGAGTGTTACCTGCTCCATCGCGACGTTCTGAAAGTTGCACGTATTTCCTAGGGTTTCTCTATTACGTGCCGCTCCTCTGCATCTACTCACTCAATTGATCTCCATGCAGCCAAAATACGACACGGTGTTCCACAGCTCATTTCCTTACTTTCAGTAAAGAAATGTTCAATTTATTTCCTGTGCGACTGGAAGAGGCTGTAAGAACATTTATATTTAAAGTTCTGAAATGGTAAAGTTGTTTCGTCACGTTTCCTTCCTGAAATCGAAGCCTGGCTAGGAAGTTCATGGTCAGTTACTTCACTGGCTGTGTAGTCTTATCAATTAATTATCAGAAAATTACATAAACATTGATGTCGTTTATTTTTATTGTGCCTTAGAACAGGGGCATAAAACGCTCGTCATTAGATTTATTTTCGACTGACGTCCTCAAATGTTTCACTTCTTTGAGACACGAGGTTTACGCGACTGTCGTTTGTGATGTTGATGATCCTCTGGATTTTGACGTCTATACTCGTCGATAGATGCCAGCGTGTCAGAGGAACGTAGATCAGAATTTGAGGGCTGAGTAATGTCTTATTGAGAAAAAAAAATAATTTTATTAACTACAAGTGTTCACTCTCCTGTAGGCTGTATTTCCAATCCACGTCCGATATCGACCGCTCGATGTTCAGCTTAAAATCTGAAATAATTTATAATTTCGTTTCCAGTCATTTCTATTCATAGACTCTTTGCTTTCTTGATTGACTGCGCAGACATGTTCACTTTTTATTGCAAAAATAAATTAATAATAGAAGAAGTCGTCAGTTCTGGCTTATGAAATAACGAGAATACTGTCGGTACACTGACGCTGTACGATATGTGAAACACATTTACGAATGTCGAGTGATTATGACATCGACTGATGAAAGAAATCGACGGCGGATGTGGAAACACTGTTGTTAAAAAGTAACCGACGGATTTCAGGAACGACGAATTCAGAGTCGAAGAAAAACGCGGGCTTCCTATATAAAAATTCTCTTATCATATACTTGAATGTCTTTATGGAATCGGCAGTGTCGGGATATGATTTAATAGTACAGACAGCGAAAACGGTTTTGCGACTAACACTAGATCTGAACTGTGGATACTGCAGTGACTCCTTATTAACCCGTATCGCCAACAAACAGAAGTAAATTTTCAGATAATATTTATACTTTCCCAGAAGAAATGATTAAATGAATTCTGCTTCTTATTCAGGTTCTCTGAAAGGGCTAGATACACATTTCTTTAGTCATACTTTATTTCGAATTCTGTAATTAAATATTTTACGATATAGGACGCCTTTGACAGTTTGAGGTATAAATTTAAATTTGTGCGGATGTGTGTTACGTGAAGCTCTAGGCGATGTGTTTGATAGTCGGCGTGTCTTGTTTGCAGAGGACTCTCCCCCCACGGTGTTGATTAAAATACCGTCGGGTTCGGCATCTGTTGAACCGTCCGGGGACCTTGCCGTGTTTCCGGGTTCCATCTTACATCTCGAATGCCTCTTCTCTCGGAAGTTGGGAAACCCGGAGTGGACATGGACTTCCACCTTCCGGCAGTTTCTCACAGGTAAGCTGCTATATGTTAGCTGCCCTGGAAGAATGGAACATATGATCTACTGGCTTTCATTAACCATTGATTATCGAATCTTATTTCATAGTACAAAGGTCAGGACACATTGAAACGAAAACTTACAAATATCTTCACAGACACGTACATGCATAGATTTTTATGTTAAAAGTATTCAAAATGTCAATCTTCCATACTAATACAGCTTTGCCAGTGTGCTCTGATTTTTTCATCATTCAGTACATTATCCTTCCATTTATCAAGGATTCTAATTCAGTCTCGGAAGATGAATTATTACTATGAAATCCATGCTCTGTTATTAAAATATCTTGTAATTATTATATTCCTACTGGAATATTTGAAGTGTAACGTAGCGATTGATAAGGATCTGGACCCCTATTACCACAGAAAGTTTCGGCAATACACAAGTTCGAAACGTAAATTGACTAACTCCAAGGAGGAGTATTCTTTAAATGATATTAGTCGCTCGGTGTGTAAATAAATCACCAGCCTTTATTTTTCTTTTGTTTTGTAAACAGAAATTTTATTACCTTGTTCATAATTGCGACACACTGAACAAACTGTCTCATAATTTATTCTGTTATGTGAGATTTGAGTTCTTCATGAAGGAGAAAATTTCGATTGTGATCTTTTGCGTTCTGACGTCGCATAATCTTTCACGATTTTGATTAACTCATCGTCTTCATCGTCAGGGTAGAGTTCTACTCTGAAGATTGAGGAGATATGTGAATGATTTGCATTGTGTTATTAGGAGTTATGGCACTGTGAAATGTCCGTCTTTAGAGTACTATGCTTTGTCCTTTCGAAACCTTGTTAAACAATCTACAAGGCTACACAGCGTCATATCTTTGAAGATAGAACTCCAGTTACTTACGTTGTAACATTTTCATAAATGCGAAAGATCTTTTTTCTATGTTTAACATCTCTAAACTCTTACCAAGAGGGTTAAGGGAAGTGTTGTGTTTTCCTTGAGGTACGGACTGAATCTAATTTGGATGTGCTCCGGCTTCAAAGCTGCGTCTTGTTCGAGCAGCCCTCCTGATTCTGATATCAAAATTCCGCTCTGTAGTAGATCCCTTCCACGTTAATATCAAAATTCCGATCACAGGCAGCGAGACCCTGATTTTCATCGGTGAACGTTCTATTTAGCCTACCTTTACCAGAAGGACGATCGGGCACTGCCTCGGATCCTTCATGGCCGGAAATTTATCTTTTATTTCCTCAAATTAAATGTAGTGTCTTTCACTACTCCACACTTCTCTTGTCTCATGCATTTACTCAATCGGTTTAAAAGGGTTAAACTAAGAAGGCTTTAGTGGGCTGGACATGCAGGACGCATGATGAGATAAGATATGACTGTACACAGCTCATTTTAGTGAAGGGTCCTCAAGAGTATTAGACTGCATCGGGGACCTAGGTATAGACGTCATATCAATATTAAAATGAATCTTAGAGAAATATGGTTCCACGTGGTTATTGCATTCTAGTGGTTTAGTATAGGGTCCAATAGGAGATATTTATTTGTTTATTAATTATTTACTTTTTTGTTTACTTAATATCTAGCTCTGTTTTACCGAGTGTCAGGTATTTGTGTTTTCAAATTTCTTTCAGTTCAGTCTGGAAGTCAAAACAAAAGAGAAGCAGATATTCGAAATTCCTTTATTTGGCCAGATTCAAGTCCTTTTTCTAGTTAGTCTGCTAGGTTCAGTGTGGACCCATTTATTGATGCAAGACCGAGAAATTTTCTTCACAGTGTTTCACCATTATCCATAGCAAACATGTAACTTCCATTACCAGGCCGAGCCATCTGGTCGTTCCTTCTAATACAGTCCACATTCTACCCTTCATTCTTTCCACAGCTTAAAGACTTTAAGCACATACTTGCTACCTGCACCAGTGCAATTCCGAGAAACGCCAATTTCTATATTATATCGTCGAAAGGTATAGGAATTGAGCAAGCAGTAAGCACCTTTGAAGTATCGGTCAGTTTGTGGAAGACCACAAGGCGCAACAACCCCGAAGATAAACATTTTTATATTCGCCGCAGTGAGAACCTTAAACTTCATTTTATTCATAATTTACACGTTCTGGTTTGGTTGAACAAATTACGATCTTTTATTGAACTTGAAATGTTTGCTTTTTACATCTTCAGTTACGAACTTCCAGTACATTTCTGTTGTCAGAACTTCTGATCGCCCGCGAAAACCTTGTTGGATTAAGTCACGATGAAAACCAAAGGTTCTCTATGAGAAAATAATTGTATGAATCGTGCTCTGACGAATTTTAATTTTCCAAGTATCGTACAGAAAATTATGAACATGGAAATACACTTCTTATAGATTCAGATAGGCTTATATTGGAAAGTTTGGGCTTGTCCGGTTGACACAGTTTTGAAAAGGTGGGATTTTTAAAAGTGCAAATAATGTTATTGAATAGGAAACATATTTTAGCCATATATGGCTCAGTTGCAACAATTCTCCGCTTTATCCACAGAGTGAGTTTATGGGTTTCGTGTGGTTCTTATGATAAACAGAATAAATGGTATTGCCCAGTTTATCGGTATTATAGAATTATATTATATTTTACTATTATTTATTGTACAATATTATATTTTTATGTAGGACTGAATGTTCAGATAATATTAAAAAGAGCTTCCACACTTCAAACGGATAAAGGAGACATCAAAATATATTTTTTTAAATACTTTTTATTTGTAATGTTATAAATTATACTATCTAAACATAATAGGCACACTGTAATAAGGAAAATCTAAAGAACTACAATAGTCATTTACTTTACTAAATATTAATCTCATTTTTCTGTAATAAGCTTGAAATTTTGTATCTGAATTGAACATTTAAGTCTAAAGAACTACAATAGTCATTTACTTTACTCAATATTAATCTCATTTTTCTGCAATAAGCTTGAAATTTTATATCTGAATTGAACATTTAAGTCTGATGCTCATAAAGTAAGAACGATAAACTTGTACGATACATTATATGCCTTGTTTTCCACGGACGTTTTATCTCGACTGAACATGTTTCAAGGGAGCTTAAATTTACGTTAACTGTAAATCACGAGCATATGTAGACCAAACAATTTAATTTAAGAATTTAAAATGGAGAAGCACTGTACCTTCATTAAGAATGTTCCTTGTTTAAACAGAATCTGAAATTACGATCCGGCAACACAATATATAATTTATTTTGTGAAAAACCGGGATGACTTTTGCATTACCTAGAGCCCATAAAATGGATCGGATGCAAATGTATATGACAACCTTTCGAATTCATTTCACTCCGCCTCTTCATTAGACTCTATAAAGTACGACGCGAAAAAGTTGATTTCCGTGCGGTTATAGTGTACGCTTCATGCTCTGAATCAATGCCTTAGTTTTATATTCTGCATTTTAAGAATGCCTTTCACAGAATCACGATAACTGAGGTCTTGCAAGAGCCAATCATAATCTCGTAAATATTATTTCGCATTCGCTTATAATAGCAGATTTTTATGTTTCTCCATACAGGTTTTTAAATTTAGTTATTAGTATATAAATACGTATCTAGAATGGAAGATGAGTATTCCGGACTGCCTGAGTGACTATCATTTTTTGGATAATGATTCTGTTACATGCAGTAACCTGCAGGCCTGTACTTCTTTGCGCGCATATGCGATATCTGTGATGTTTTATCGATTCATTCTCTTAGCATTGGTGACTCGTAAATATTCGCCCACACACAGACTCCGTTCATCCACTTACACTAATTCATTTCCTCAGACTCCAACCGTTCGTTCATTCTCTCACTAACCCACCAATCAACTTTAATCTCAAGATTAAATATATCCACAGCGTTCTACGTTGTTCTCTGGTTGTAACTTTCAAATGTGGAATGTGCGAGTAGGTCGTGATAATTGAGTAGATAATAAGAACGAAGGCTTGGAATAAAGACGACGTAAAAATCTGTTTAATATATGAAATAATAAATCTGAATACTTAGTTTTAAACAGTGGTATTAATAACTACTTGGGCTTCAAAGGGTTTCTCCTTTCATCTACTAAAACATTGCATTTTAGTGTTGCTAACAACTTATTTATTTAAAACTCTGGTGTGTCTAAGTTTATTTTCTGAAACTATCGCTGCGTTTCAGTTCCAATTTAATTTTCATCGAACGTTCTTCAGTCATCCCATACAGTAAATCTATCCACTACTAACGACATGGATCACAGTACCTGAGAAACTGATAGTCGCTGAACTAATCAAGGAATTGCCTACTTTTTATCGAGGCCAAGGACTGATTATTGAGTTCAGAGGAACCTACCCTAAGCCCGTTTCCTGTGTCACTTAATATGTTCCACACCCCATCTTCCAAAGATGCATTTTATCAACCTCAGATTTACACCTAGGTCTCCCAAGTGGCCTACCGTTTAGTATTCCCCACTAAACTTTTATATGCATTTCTAATTTCTCCTGGGTTTGCTTGGTAATCTTTCACAAGTTAATTTCGAGCTATGAGCAAGTAATGAAACAACACAAACGTGTTGTTTTTCGGGAAGCTATGAATGCTGTGTTAATGAAACCAGGAATGCGGCGAATAAATCCCGAGTTAACAGATTTCTGTGGTTACTGTGTAAGCACTTAGCCTAACCTAACCTAACCTTTCCACGTTTTCTGTGTGCAAGGTGCCAAGCAAACTTTCTGACAGAATAACCAAGTGGAATAAATCTACCACGATTGTTGAAACTTGATTTCATAATTCTCCGTTGGTCAAACCAGCATGTATCCGCATTTTCATCAGGGAGAATGTTAAGCCGGTAATTTCGACGTGTTACGGATTACAGTAATACATTTACAACTAATTACGAAACTTTATATGTACTTAACTAATTCCATTGAGCAGAATCCTGCTTGAGAAGCTAATATTTCACTGAGCTGTTCAAGGTTCGTTGTCGAATTTACATGGGCTCACCACCAGCTCCTATCCTAGGCCAGAAGAACCCAATACAGGTGTCCAAACCCCATTCCCCTTAGATTAATTTTAGTATTATCCTTCTATCTGTGCCTAGGTCTCTCCAAGTAGTCTGTTCTCAAGGCTTTCCAACCAAAATATTAAACGTACTTTTACCCCCCAACCCCCGACCCCTTGCGCAATCTATGCTACGCACATTCGTAAGATAAGGGATGGCGCTTGTATAATGTAAAGCTGATTTCGCTACTCTTGTGAGAGGCAGAACTTACAGAGGACATTCCTGTGCACATAAGAAAGATACCCGTTCGTTGCCTTTCCGAATGTTGTGGACAGACGAAGCGAAAGGAGCTCACAGCCTGAGTTTGTTTCGCGATAGGGCCGGTCGCATAAGAAGGCGATAAGACACAGGATATACGATATAGGGGATATGCGATAAAGAAGCACACTGGTGTGTTTGTAGTGTCACTCGCCGCAGATACTACAGCTTCACCCTGCTTACGACGTTTATCGTCGGAGACAAACAGGCATGTCTATGGCGACTTGGATAGCTAGACAGTTTGTGACCCAAAATGGAAGACGATCTAGCATTTGCAGTTTTTTCTTGTCGAGTGGGCGGAAAAGTATCCATGTTTATGGAAATGCTCGTTGCAAGAATATAGCAAGACAAATGCATCAGTCGTAGTGTGGAAGACTTTGTCAGATGATAATGTAGATTCAGGTTAGATGTTTCTTTGGTATTTTGTTACTCTTGACAAAAACATAAACCTGCCTTAAGTTTTATTTCACGTGGAGCAAGTGTGGACAACCAGCCTCATCCCACTTCCTGTTCGTTGTCAAGTGATTCGAAAATACGAAAACAATAGAAGATGTGAGTCAGCATATACATCGGTTCGTTGTAAACCATTTGATATTTCAGGATATTAAAGTAAGCAAGAATAACGTTTTTATTTTATGATATTCTTAAAATTACACAGTCAGGAGGTTTAGAATTTGTACTCATCACCAAATATTGTTCCTTTGGATATGAAGCTTAGACGGAAACAGTTTATTAAAACTGAACTTTAAGGTACAGTACGAGGTGCGATCGGAAAGTTTCAAGACTGTGTCAATAGAGGGCGAACCGGATGTAGTAAGAGCTTCTGCCGCTAAGGGGTGCGGCCTACATTCATAGTGAATCAGTGTGCCAGCCGGCATCATCGAATTAGCATTTGTTTCTTAGTTACGGGCGTTTTGGTAGTGCATTACACCGACCATCCTGCGATTTCGGAATGGCGTGTGCATCAAATTTTGCCAAAGACTCGCCAAAACGGCTACGGAAACCTGTGAAATGCTAAAGCAAGCATTTGGGGAGTCCGCAATGGGTCGTGCACCAACTTTTGTGTGGCATTCACGTTTTAAAAATGGCCGAACCTCTGTCGATGATGACGAGCGTTCTGGACGACCATCTTCGAGCACAACGCCCGAAAATGTTACGAAGATTCGGCAGGCCATTCACGAAGATCGACGTCGTACCATCAACGACTTGTGCGACATTTTTGGGATAGGCTATGGGACCTGTCAGCTGATTCTAAAGGAAGAACTCCATATGCGACGCGTCGCAGCCAAGATTGTGCCAAGGCTCCTGTCTGAGGGCCAGAAGCAGAATCGACTTCTCGTTTGTCAGGAGTTTAAAGATCTTGCAAGAACCGACCCCAACTTCCTTTTTAAGCTCCGTGTGACTTCTTCCTCTTCCCAATGATGAACATTCAGCTAAAGGGAAGGAGATTTGAGACGATAGAAGAGATTCAGGCAGAATCGCAGATGGTGCTTGACAGGCTGGCAAAGAAAGATTTCCAGGGATGCTTCCAGGCTTGGCAGCGGCGCTGGGATCGTTGTGTTCACTCCCAGGGGAACTACTTCGAGGGTGATGGATGAATTTAATACCTGAGATAAGTGTACGGGTTTTTATACGCGGTCTTGAAACCTTTCGATCGCACCTCGTATGTGGCGGAGTGGGGGGGGGGAGGTTGTTGAATTTAACTGGTTCAGAATATGTTTAGTGGGTGGCTGTATTGAATACGGTGAATATTATTCAGGTTACATGTAAGACAGGATATTCTTTGAGTACATGATTAACTATCAGCTTCTGATTGTAGTCTGAAAATCAAACACGTGTAATGATTTGCCTTTTAAAGGTGTCCCCGTGTGTGTCGACGAGAAAGTTTCTAAACGCCACTGCTGGGATCAGACTCCGCGTATGTCGTCATTGACTCAGCTGACACTCTCGACTCGAAGTGACAGTTTGCTGTGTCGAGACGAATTAGCTTTCATACAACTAGAACAGTCGGGAATTGTATGGCACCTGAGCTACTGTTGCTTTCCCAAGAAGGTCCCTATTTTTAGAAGTAACTTTATTTATGAAGATTTCTGTCTTCTGGGTTGTTGCGCTGTGTAGTCTGGTCGATGTTAACCAACGTTTCAGAGATCATACTGCTGCCCTCGTCATCAGGACGATGAATCGCAACCACCCAGAAGACAGAAATCTTCATACTCACCGCTGTGAAAACCTCAAATCTTACAACTTTATTTATGCTCGATTATCATTGAGGCGAGTGGCATTTTCTGCGTTGTCATAGCTCTTTATCGAAGTTTCTGTTGTTGACATCAGACATCTAGGAATCGACAGAAACGTTCACTAATGGCTTAAAGAACACACGCCTCTTGTTTTCTCCGACTTATTTTCTCTGCTTTTCAACGTTATCCAACAGCCATTCTACTTCATTCCGTGGGAAGTTGGCCATGTTCCCTCCATCTGTTTGTTCTCCCTCCACAGTTCCTATAGACCTCTAGGTGGAAGTTTCCGGCATTCCATGAGAACTCACGAATGGTTAATTGATAGTCCGAGAGGACGCCTGTCCTTGTGCTGTCTGCACAATATAATCCTCTGTTACAGTGGTCTAAGAGTAATTTGCTGTAGTTTTCGGAATTCCTATTTACTTCTAGCTTTAATACTGGTTATTTTACTCACACTCGTAATTAATACCGTTAAAGGAATTGAGAAGTCAACAATAGAATATTAATTTTGTTCCAAAACGTAATACCTGTTCATTTGCGGCGAATGTAGTTTCTGAATCGTCGACGGCTTGTGTCAGACAAACCTTGCAACGAGCAGATGTTTATTGCGTTTCAGAATAGGCTATATCGGCCATTTTATGCAGGCAAAACATAAGTGTATATGTGTGTTATATGTAACATACTTAATTGAGAGTGGACTGAATTCGGAAAATAGGAAATATGTTGTCTCCCTGTTTGTTGTCTCAAATTCTAAAGATTACAATATCCTATATCAGGTTTTCCGCTGGCGTACCACTAGTTGTAATTTAACACATTAAATGTACCACTAACAAAATTTGTTCAGGGAAAACTTATTTGTGTTAATATTATTTTTGGATTTTCTTACTTAGTTCGCGTACCACTCAACAGTGGCTTGTGTACCGCCAGTGGCACGCATACCATATGTTTGACTAAACATTTGTGTGTGTGAATTAATCATTGCTTTTAAGTGTGAAGTGTAGATATGTCAGTCACGTTTCCCTTAATGGAGTTTTTGACCGAGTGGTATGTATGGAATGTTTGGTAATTGTCGCGTGAGAAACTGATTTTTGGAAGGCAAACTATTATTCGCGCTGTCGAATTGTGGCTTCGTGATTTTGCTGATTAAATTGCAGTTGCAGATTCAGTCGTGAGAAACTGGTTCAGTTGATGTTTGTTAGATGCGCCTCCTTTCTCGAGGGAAACATATCTCCTAATGTTTGTTGTTTAAAAATCGAACATAATCGGAACGTAAGAACACTTTGATGCCACTTCTCCAGCGCTTGTAATTAAATACGGCAGTTTCAATCCACTGTAGTGCATTAGGCTGTGTAAGTTAATTCTAATCGTTATTAAACTATATAAAGGTGGGACAACGGCTCGTGCTGTGATGCCAACAATTGTGCTCAGTTATAATCACTATTTTACTTGTTTCATTTTTACGTGAAACTTGGTCTCTCACTTTGAAAGCAAAACAGATCGAGGAGGATGTTTGAAGGCAGGGTAATGAAAATATTTCAACCTAAGATAAGCAAGTAGCAGGAGACTAGAGAAAACGTAATGAGAATCTTCTTCTTGTAGTACTCTTTACCAAGTATTATTAGGATGGTTACAGTTTAATAATGTAAGATAGGCTGGAAATGTAGCATGGGTAAGGCAGTAAATAAATGAAAATGAAAGAGAACACTAGGAAAATCTAATCATAGACGAGAGAATAATATAAAATGAATCTAAAAATAATTGGATATGATGATGTGGACTGAATCCACATACCTTTCAGTGTCAGGCTGTTAAAAATGCGATAAATAACGTGTGATATAAAGCTTTCACATCAACTAGAATTCATAAAGTTATCTCGGTCTTTTTCAGCCCAATAAGATTTTATGAACGGCAAATAATCTTCAAGTGCCATTAAATGGCGGCGAACTTCTTGACTAGCTGAAAGGCAATTCTCTTCTAATGATTCCTCTTCATGAGTTTCTTAAAGTCGAACGAGGCTCTTTGATGCTTTCAGTGTGAAGAATATAAACTACATTCTGTGATCTCTTGTGAGATTTGGTGATGATGACGACGATGATCTTCTGGGTTTTGGCGTCATGTAAACATTTCGGCAGATGCAACGTTTCAAAGGCACATACTGCCTCCATCTTCAGGGGTGAAAGTGGAGCAGTATATTCCTTCGAAATGTATTTTCATCAACAAGTCTGTTCGGCTTCATAACCCAGAAGACCTACATCATCATCTTCACCGTTTTAAGAACCTTAAATCTTATAACGAGATGTCTCCTGAAAACATGCCAGAACGTGTGCGTTCTTTGTGTAGGGTGGGCGATAGCAGCTGAGGAGCGAGAATGGAAGTACAGATTGTCTGTCTACTACACGAAGCCACAGGATTCCGGCGTCTTCACGTGTGCCACGCCGCGAGGACTCACCAACAGCATTACTGTCCACGTCACGGGTAAGTCGTCTAGTCTGTCCAGCCTTGACATTGCAACACGGAACGTGGTTGTTACAAAGCCATGACTCGGCTTCCAAACCGTTGCTTGTGGTAAAACAGTGAACCGCTAGAACGTGCAAGACATCATGCTAACACCTCAGTCTCGTTTGTTTATAACAATTTAAATAAACGTAATTTAATCTTAAGATTTTGGCACATAGATTTTAATAGTTTAGTACCCGAAGTCTTTGTTTGTATCAGTAGAGTGCACCATTAGAAATATTGATAAATATAATATCCAGAATTCCTTACATCATCTTGTGCATTTAATTGAACTAATCTTTATTCCTCCTTTCCTTATTAGACTCCAATTTATTGAAACATAGTACACTTCGATTTTAGTATCACTTTCTTGAAAATTGTGCCTAAATCTTGAAGTTCGTTGAGACGAGTGGTTCTCTTTCACCATCTTGTTTCGTGTCTGTTAATCTGATTACTAATATATAAAATCATTATTTTATTTGTAATTGTAGCTATGTGAAACAAGCCTCATCCTGAGAGTGTTTGATGTCAGATTGCTGAGAAGAATGTGTAGAGCTAATAGATGGGAAATAATAGAAGAATGAAAAAAATACATATTGAGAAGCTTAATAATTTGTACTCTTCACCGGATGATATGGGCGGAACATGTAGCACGCATTGAGAGATAAATGCATACCACATTTTAAAATGAAAATTTTAGGGAAGGATTCTTCTTAAGAAGGATTATACTATATATGAATTTAGTTACATGCAGTACGAAAGCAGATTGGTCATCTAGCAGAGCCGTTACGGACAAAGCTTTCGTGAGATTTAAGGATCTCACGTCGACGAATATGAATATGGCTGTCTTCTGAGATGTGACATATAGCCCGACAAATTTTTGCCGACGTTTCAGATATCCTTGCTTCCTTAATCATCATGACAGCAACTAAACACTCAGTATTCATGATTTTGAGTTGTGTGTAAGCTATCGATTGCTGTGCCTTTGTCTGAGGTGATAGCCGTCTCTTGCTACAGGTCTCCAGCAGGTATTTTCCATATTTGATAAGGCTGTAGCCGAAACATGTGCTTGTTCATTATCCTGGCCAAATGCGGTCTGAGTCCAGTTCGTCCGACGCCATTATGTGACTAATACATAGCTTATGGCTGTTCGGAGCAGGCCAGTGACGACGCCACAGGAATGATTTGCAGGCTAATGCTTCATTTCCGAATCCCATTTGGAATTCCATGGGTGTAAGGGGATTTTATCAGTAATTTGGGATTCGCGTAAAGGTCATAATTAGAGACTTTTTAAATCGTTAAAACGCACAAAAGGAATAATCTACTGCTATGTTGGTTTCCTTCACTGTTATTTGCGTTTTAATCTCGCCCAATAGGGAGGTTGTGTCTGCTTGTCATTCTGCAGATTTTATCCTGGAAACTACAGAATTAAGTTTTATAAAGATTAGTAAAAATTTTGAAAATTTCGTTTTAGTTCTTGCCGGACAGATATAAACCCCACATTATGCGAAGCTCAAATAAAATTTTGTGTAATGCTCAAAAGTGCCTCATCGTACAGAACAAGTCGCGGGGAGCGGCATGGATATTCGTGTATTAAATTGGGTAAGAAGTTCTACAAGTTAAAGAACGCAATGAATTATTAGCAGTGAAAAAGGACCCGTGTTTAATTTCTGACATTATTATCCTCAGAATTTTATTTGTGCAGTCTACGCACTGTGGTTTTCAAAATTAATTTCTTTAGTATGTTGAATTTTATTATCTTCTCCTCAGAAGAGTATTCACGCTCTTCTATCCCGTATTAAAGTTTCCTTGTCTTTCCCCTGTCTGGTTTCTTTCATTACCTTCCCAGCTCTGTTTTAATCTTCTCGCTGTTCCTTCCCATTTTCATCCGGTTTGTCTTCGTTTTATTGCCACATGTGCCTCAGTTTATTGTCCGGGTTCTGCTGTTCCTCCATCGCCAAGGCTCATTACTAATGTTGAGGTTAGCCAGACCATCTATTGCAGGCAAGCTGTGTAGCATTTACGTTACGTTACGCTATTAATGACCGGTGTTACGTTATTTTGATGAGTATGAAGGGAATTGGATCTTTGCACTCAAACACGCACGCACACACCCAAACTGTAATAAAGAGGGAGCAAACTCATATTCTGATCCCAAAAGCATTTAAAATTCTGGAAAGTCAGTGTTGCTTGTGGTTTCTTATCCACCCAAATTATGACGTAATTTTTCACTTTTTGTTCAAACAGTAGGTGTCAACGATATCAATAATTTTAATCGATATACTGTGTTACACAGTTCGTCATAATGTTTGCATGAACGCCGGAGCAGCAGAGGGTAAGGCAAATCAGATGAAAACTGTAATGCACTGTAAATTTTGCAAATATGTGGTGTATTATTTACATGTAAGGATTGAAAAAGCCTTGGAAAGATTTTGGTTTATTATTTCAATAGGCAGTGTGTCCTGGTTTTCACAGGTCTGAGTAAATGTCACAATTGTTCCGTTTACTCCACAGGTAAACAATAATAACACCAGTGGTTTGTGTTATCCTCGATGCATGCACAGTTATGCATACACAATTGGCTTTTATGTTAATTTATTACAGACACAAATTTATTGTTTTAGTGTTGACCACACCACAGAAATCACGTTATTACGTTATTTAATTTCCAGCATTGCTCTTATACTTCGTTAAATATTTACCGTATCAAAAGCATATGACTTCTGGGGTAAACGCTAATTATTTATCAGAAACCGTCCATTCTCTTCCCTGTGAAATTACCCAATTCTCAGCTCAGAATGACCTTAATCTAAATACCCCCTTGTAATTTAACGACGTGCTAGCGAAACAACTCAGATCGGAGCAAAGTAAATAGGAGACTGTTTGTGTCTGTTTATGTGTGTAGTAAATCAAGGCCTAAGGTAAGGGCAGAGGCTTACCTGTTTGCTATATATATATATACGGATATAAAAGTAGGCACTTTGCTAAGTTCGTACTTCGGTTTGTAGGTACTTAGGAAGTTACGTAGGTCTTATGTTGCCCCGTACTGGTAGGATAATTAAAGCGAATGAAGTCACGTGAAGCCTGCTTGCATTGCAGTGGATGCTCTAAACTGAGCACAGCTGTGATGTCATTTCAAGTATTTCTTTGTGACTGTATTCACATAACAACCAACATCCACAGTTGAATTTCCCTGAGTAAGAGAAATTCTTTAGGTAGACAGTTTAATTACATTCCACAGTGGAATTATTATTAACTTCTTTGTTTTTGACTGAATCCATCATAATTGGATTAGTGCTATTAGTAATTACAACTTTTGGAGACTGGATCTTCCTTTGTCTTCAGGATTCAGGAGGGAGGGACCAATTCTGAAGGATCGTGTGGACCAGGCTAACACGTTGGATCCTATAGACCAAATTATTCTGTTGGATCCTGTTGTTATTATTATTTAGTGTTCTGTCTGACGACAGGTCCATATGAACAGGATCCTTCCATCCTTTTCTCGGACTGGGACCTGTTCATATACGTTCTTGGCAGATGATCCAGAAGTGGTTTGCCATTGCCTTTTTCTGTGTGTGTGAATGGAGTAATTGTTGGGATGCCACGGAGAAACCGGGGAAGCCCCCGGAGGAAAACTCCGTGTTGCCTAGACCACGGCCTTGCCCAACACAAGTTATAAATTCGGGCACCGCCGGGAATCGAACCCGAGGCCCCAGGATTACAAGGCCAGCGGTTTTTTTTCCTGTACACGAAACTATTCTGTTGTATTCTTTAGACCATGTACTCTTGATCTTTGCAAGATCCGTCCTTAGAAACACCATGGTTAGTGATAGTAGTTACCAACTGACAGTGAATGAAGACCGAAACAGGGAAATTAGTAATATAACAGGCGTCACGAGGAATGGTTATTATTTGCTGTCACTTATGACTCCGTGTGAGATAGTTAATTGTATTTTGCCTACAATGATATCATGGAAATCTAACGGAACTATATAAGCCAGCACGCTTTTAGACTCTGCATTACTCGGTTCTCTAAATTGCTTTGTCTTTGTCATTTTCTGTGTTATTTGTTACGCCACCATGGGCTGGGCAAGCCTTATTCCATAAGGACATTAATTAAGATTATTAATGAATTGTCAGCTTTATTTTGCCCTCATTAATGTTAATACGATTTTGGACAGGTCCCTAAACATCGGTGGCAGTTTTTCACTAACACAATGGTTTTGTCGGCCGCTTAGCTTGTGTTTATTAAATTAACATGTGCTAAGTTGTGAATAAAGTGTAAGCCTACATTGAAGGTAATCTCTGTATGGAAGGTCATTTCAAACCCCCAGTGTTACCAACGTATAACTTAGGCGTGGCTATTCTTCGTGCTAGAATAATCCTCATGTTCCAGCAAACTGAGCACACTGCAAATTATTTTTGCACCATATTTACAAGCCTTTCGCGAACTGTATTATAGGGAGTGAAATGGCAGTTCAGCCAAGGGACTTACGGTATTATTAAACGTAAAAATGATGTGAATATCAGACTGGAATCCTGTCATGGCGTTGAAGTAAAAATAAAGATAAAATACACAATTGTCCCAATAATTAAGCACCGCGCCTGGAAGACGTTTCGGTGATGAGAGACTTCGATGCTTGCTTAACTTTGGCTTTGGACGGAAGCTTTGGGAAAGGGCCAATCGATATTATACCCAATCGTTGTAATGGGTCGATAGGCCCCAGATTGAGTCTGGAGGCGTCGGTGAGCAGAAAGTACTTGCATCTGCCGGAAGTTGAAACCCAGCCGCCCGTCTTGAATTCAGTTACTTCTAAAGAAACAATATGAAGTCAATAATTTCGTGTATCTAAATTGCACACTAAAGGAACCAACAAATATCTGAATCATACTGTCACAAAATATAATAATAATTGTTTTTTTACGTTTTGTTTCCCTGTGTACATAAAAGACCTTTTTTTGGGTCGATACTCCATCCAAGGGACAGTTTCCCTGTGTACATAAAAGACCTTTTGGTGGGTCGATACTCCATCCAAGGGACCCTGCTAAATGTCTATTCATAATTTCAGTAGTTAATTTTGCACCGGAACGTGGATGTTCTCAAAAAGAAGTTAACGTGAATTAGTTTCGGACTCTCGAGTGATTGGGACAGCACAAATAAGATTTATGATTGAGTGAATTGATTACCTTTCAAAGATACAGAGCGATGCGAAAATGTAGGAAATTGTTTGGACGTTAATATATTGACAGATGATATCAAAGGACATGAGGAGAAATGGAGAAATCACGTTCTTTATGTTCGAGGCGACAGGCTATCAGAAATACAGAGCGAAGGAGACGTGGAAGTGTGAGGAGATTTGTGTGCGATCGAAGGAACAGTTTGTATAGTTTCGGAGCGGTCATAGTGGACCCATACCTTCCAAGAACGAGGAGTAGATGTCGGGAGTTTATATAGAAAGTTCCAGCATTCTTTCAGTCACTGTCAAACATCTTTTTCTAGCCTCATCAATTTTAATCTCTCTTAATGAACTACTACAGTTTTGTACATACATTGACTTTAGGAAGTTGATAGCAGTAATGTCAGAAAGCTGTGAGAGCATTATTATTCTTTGCATAATTATTCCTGAGTTGCTTATTCTTGCAATTTCCGCCCCCTTCAAACTTCAAACTTACGCTATCGATCTGAGAGAAGCGTTTCCGAGGCATTCGTTTCTTCGTTTTTACAGCCGTGTTCATTATTTTTCCTAAACCGTTCCTCAAATTCTACAATACCATCTCGTGCATCAATTGTCTGTCTTCCTGATCACAGACGAAGTAAGAAGTCTTCTTTACTTCCTAGGTTTTCAGTCCGTGGCCTTACATCAACTCCACATAGCAGGGAACTGGTTTCTTCTGTGTTGTGTATTATATTATTCTCCGTTGATTTTTACGTTTTTCGTCTCATGGGATCCCATGCAGCTCCTAATTTTTATATATATTGCATGTCCGTAAACTAGTTGTTGTTGGCTCTATGTTCAGTCATAAACTTTTTTAATAAATGCTATTCCAATATCTGAATCTGGACTATTTTCCTGACTTCAATGGATTTCTCTTTTTTAAATTAGTGCTCAGGCCCCAGTTTTAATACTCGCTCTAATTATTTTATACGTAATGAATATTTCTGATCTTCTGTTAGGTAAGATATTCGAATAATGCAAAGCGTATTACATTATTTGTTCCGTACGTTCGTGATGTTGGAAAATGTTCTGAGATTATTTTTATGGTAGCTCTTCCTGTCTCACCTCCACTGATATTCGTAGCTACCGTTATGTTCAATATACAATAACTGTTAATTTCCGTACACATTTAGTTCTGAAAGAAAATTCGATATATAATAATAAGTTCTGGACAGAACTTAACATGTATACATTTCTTTAGATACCTTATTCTCGTATAATGTGAGACCAACAAAATCTGTAAAAACTACACAATTTAGTGGCCCTTTGGCGTTATTTTCACTATTGTATTGTCAATTTTCAGTATAAAAATGATACTTTTAAAGATGTGCACCATCGCAGTGTTTCCATCATTTAATATAAAAATTATTTACTTGTAATTTGTGGATTTTATTACGATCTTTATTCATTAGTTACTGTCTTCAAGGTAAATGCAGATTTGGACTTCCCATTCATTTCTTTACATTCTACAGCAACAACGTCAACAAATGTTGTACAGACTTAGTAACTTCTTTTAGTAGCGGTAGCAATACATGCATTTTTAAAATGCCATGTACGTAATATTAATATAGGAAATTAAGAAAGTACAAAGGTTAAGTTGCCATAAGTTTGTCTAATTGAATGTTGATCTTACAAATTAAATTAAAATTAAGTCAGTTGAATGAAATGTTGTTGTAGAGGAGACGGGCATGAGAATACAAAAGCACATACGTTTATTTGATTTATAGAATATGAAACGTAGCCTGTGCTAAAATATATTTTGGTACGTGAATTGTGCGATCTTAAGAAAATACGATGTTTTCTTATCTTTTGAAAATATCAGTTATAATTCTACACCGACTAATTCGCTGTAGGTCTACTGTAGACTGGCAGTACGAATGCAAGTTACGATATAGGATTATAATGAAGTTGCCTGAATACGTCAAATCTTTGTGTGAATGGAGAGTCTGAATGTATTGTAAAATACTACGGCTACATTTATTATTAAAACTTCACACCGATGTTTGCAACCAGCGCGAAGGAACATTGTCCCTTTACAGACGTCCCAGGGTTTTTGATTGAAATTGGAATTTCCGCGTTTATAACGTTGCTATTGAAGTTGAATGTCTCGTCTACTCATTAATTAGTTCCCCTTCCTTCAAAACTGTAAGATAGAAAATGAAATTTTGGTTCGTGCGCGGATCTAATTAACTACTTGATAGTGCAACTGACATTTACACTTGAAGGCTGTAAACATTCCCGAGGCATTTCAAATGTATCCTGCTTTGCCGTAATGACCCCGTCTTGTTGGCTTTCCTCCCGGTAATTGACCTGCATTTGGCACAATGTGTCTATAAAAACTCTGTCCCTGTGTTCCGTGTGTATAATCAAAATCAAATAAAAACTTCAGTATCGAGCTCAGCTTATACTAGGTTTTAGCACGACGGTCTCGTAGTCACATTCAACTTTGTGGGGTGGGGTCTGAAACTTTTGAAGGTGGGTTAAACCTTCGAGTAGGCAGCCGACGTGTTAAATGGGATCTGGTATAAGTCTGTGGCTGTTTAACAAATTAACACTACGTCTAACCTTCAGAAAATCAGTAACGTATTTGTATGTGCTTATAGTGTTATGATATATTGTTTTATAAAAAGAAACTATCACGAAAGTTGCAAGTAATTAGGTTTTCACCCCACTTAGATATAGATGTTACGATATTACTTATTAGGTCACTTAGCTTAGTAACTTCGGCTCGAGATGTCTTCCTTCATATTTCAATATTGCATTTCCTTTCTCTTTCCTGATGCGTGCTGACTTTTAGTACTGCAGGTGCTAAAATGTAAAGGTAAAAAGAAATGACTTTTGAAAGCATATTCAGAATCCTTTATGATATTTGTCGGCTTTTCAGAGTTTTTGCTTCAGAAAGTGTGGCAGCACAGACGCATCGCGTCTTAATTTCACACAGCCGGTCGTATCTTCTAATTTTCCGCCAGCGGGCAATACAATTTCAGCATCGTGTTCTGCTTCCTTTTTATAGACCCTACAACCACCCAACATTTCTTCTGCTTGCGTCCTTCCCCTTGCCTTAAAGCTGCAATCAGGAACATAGGCTACAACTCGTAAAACAGCGTTTCTTCCTGTTTGACCATCATGCATCTGGTAATATGGGAAGGTCAGGTCCAATGCAAAGGAGGCGACTGAGAGGCTGGAAGTTAAATTAGACGATTGATGTTTCTGTGCAGTGACTGCCAACACTTGATTAGTTTAACCAATTCTGCGTCAAATGGTTTGGAGTTCAATCTCTTTGTGTTTCTGGTTTATCACTGAGGTAGTTTTTGTTACCAAAAAATTGTTCAAAGATGGCTGTCTTCTGGGTTGTTGCTGCGAGTAGTCTGGTAGAAGTTTATTGATGTTTCGGAGGTGTTTGCTGCCTCCATTATCAGGATATCGCTCCGCTCGTTATAATCCTTAATCTATGCATGGTACTTTAATCTGTGGTCGTTCTATATCTTGTGTTTGCTTGCATCTTTCTGTTTTGAAGTTTGTGTAGACTTTAAATAATGCCCTAGACCAGTGTTCTTTAAACTTTTTTTTAAAAATGGTATCTACTTGTAAGTCCACACGGCGTTACAGCTATGAGGACCTCACATTCTATATAGGCCGATCAGTTAAATATTGCATAAAATTAATCTGTGTTCTTTTATTAAAGTAGTTGTTCTTGTTTCTTTTCTCATGCCAAAAGTATGAAAGCATACGAAATAGTTGTTCACCATGCTCCTGGGCCAAGCCGTACTGATGACAGGGACAGCATGTGTTTGTGAAACGTTGGCAAATTTCTACCGAATTATACGGCATTACAACTAAGAACACAACCATCATCACTTCAAGTCTATTTTCAAAGTCTTAATGTTAATGACAATTTACTTTATTAGGATGGCGTTTGTACTGGAATTTGCCACTGCAGAAATTACTTACGTTACGTTTTGCCGTATGATAGGATGATTTGTGATTGGTTAATTGGTAGCTAATTTTAAGACACTATTCTGACATTTTCGTGGATGGGTTGGGGACATACTCTAAAATCCCGGTCAGGTTTTTGTTCTGGGTGGTGATGTCAGGGCTATAGCTCTGAAGATGGAGACAGTATGTTTCTCCGAAACGTTGGTATTTACTTATGAGTCTACACGGTGTCGCCATATTCACCGCCTTGAGAACCTCAAGTCTCTCGGATAATCATGTTTCCATTGTATGTCAGAAGCAGGCGAGCGTTTATTTGCTACGGTGCCCACCTTGTGAATATTATGTTTCACCTGATGTCAACTTTTTCCCTCAGCGGTCCACTGCGAGCCCATGGAAATCAATGACCCTTACCTGACGTCACGCGTGGAAGGCACTCGACTGGGTCAAGTGGCAGTTTTCCAGTGTCCTATTGGTTTTCGACTCAATGGCACTTCTAACCTCACTTGCCAGGCCTCGGGTAAGTCCAGCTCTGCATGTCGCATGTCCACGTTGCTTGGGAGTTTTATCTCATTCTCTTTAAAATCCAAGCTGTTTTTATTAGTGAACAGTTGCAAAGTAAAGGGCCGATGTAAGCAGATTATATCGGCCTCCTGAACTTGCAAGAGCATGAGCGGAGAAGACTTCCTACTGTCAAGTGTATTCTGTATCAAACTTCTCCAGTCTGTGGTTCACGAACCGTTTTGAAAATGCTGAAAGTTTCAAGGGGTTTGTTAATAACATCAGCATTGGTGGTATTTTAAAGCAATTCCAGAAGTTCAACAACACTCGTAGAATATTTCATCTCGTGGAAGTTTCGGTTTGGTAGACATGTAAAAATTCGTTGCATATTTAAGTTTCGCAGTTAACTGATTTTAATAGGAATTTGCATATACAGAACTTTAGTGCAGTGAGGTTGCAATGTAGAGAAGTACCAGGGACTGTTAGTGTTAGTTGTTAGCTACACTTACACACACTCGCTGTTCCAATATTTTCAGTTTTGGCCCTTTTATTGAACTAGATGTTTCGGCCGTGTATGGCCTTTATCAGGTTCGTTGTATAACCGTAGCCGTCGCACTAACGACACGAAAACGAACACTTATAAAATAGTTGATTAGCGTGTGTGTGTAAAAGTGAAGGTGAAACAACACACCGGAATGCTGCACTACATAATCAAGTATCAGAGAGGTAAGAAAAATTATGTAACGGGGTTATCTTTGCAAGTTTAGTTTAATATGTAGGTTTAATTATAAACTTAGTAATTGTTTAAAACTGTGTAATTTATATCTGAATTTATTGAAGTCGGAAATTCGAACCGTGTGTTAAATTACAGAGTGGGCTACATCCTTACCTTTTTTTAACAAACGCCTTAAGTTTGCCTGTCCCCGGACGTTTATTCGTACCCGGGATCCCCAGAATATGAATCCGAAGAACCAGCCAGTCGGTACGACCTTAGGTCACACTGTAGATGAGGGGATGACACTAAATCGAATCTTAGGGAAATGGATTCTGCCGTTACTGTTATGAGACGTGAAATAGATTGGTTGAGGATGAGTCAAACTAGGGTGTATTTAGGCCGTGGTGAATAGTGTATTTCTGTGCGGATAAAACGTAGCGATAGTCCCTGGCGTAGAAATTTGATGATTATTTTATAATTCCTGGAAGTGGGGAAGAACAGAAATGACACTTCACAAAGTCTGTCGTTTTGTTGCAGGAACGTGTTAAATTCAAACAATTGCTTTCAGGTATCTGTTAATAGTAAACTCCTTATTTCACTACTACTTTTCTGACGAATTGCATTTTAATACCAGATGTACACGTGCATTCCTATGATTTTAATAAGATTAAATGCATTTTACGCAGCTAATAACTGGCTTCGACCTTAATTATAGACCTTGCCATGAAGACTTGAATTCTTAACCTCGGTACTAGGTGGAAGTCAGGGATAGCTTACTCCTGAGTAAACAGTCCCTTGGTGCGCATCGGGTAGGATGCTGGATATTCTCCGGACCCAGTCTGGATTTGATGGCGAAAAGACAAATTCCTGCCCATATTGTAAATCGAACTCCGGACATCCTTAATGCAGTCAGTACTGAACGGATTGCTCCCGCAGCTTGTCATGGAAGAATTTGAATTTGATCGATATTTCAGAGGTTCTAATTGTCTCCATCATCAGTGCGATGGCCCTGAACCTTTGAAACGTCTGTCAAATACTGCGAGATTGCATAGCACAACATCCCAGAAGACAGTCGCATTCATTTTGAATTTACTCTGTTCCATTTTCGCTTCTGAATATTTTATGTTGTCTGTAAACAATGCCGTGCACAAGTATGTGAAAACGTGGACATGCAGGAATTGGTTTGCATTTGCTACCCTCACGAGTTAAATGACAGGTACCAGCGAAACGTGTGTAGGGGCTGAAAAGGGGTAAAACGACATAGTTAATTGGGAATGGGCCTGTCCTTGCAGCATTATGCATGCTTTATTCGGCTGATTGTGCTGGCTGAAAGCAGCCATTATTACCATTACGTTTCCTCCAAATGTTGTTCTTGTAACACATGAATCGCTCACTGTATTTTGTAATGTTAAACGCGTAACAGATCGTCATATTTCGTGCTCTGCGCAGTGATAATTCAGATTCTGTGCGTCTTGTCGGACATCGTGCTTGGCGAAGTTCAAGCGACGTCAGAATGTCTGGGGGCTACGAAGGGATGAAGTAGAGTTCATCAAATTTGCATTTTCGTTTTCATACTATGATGTATTTTGGAGCCGTAGAACTTTGTCTTTAAAGCGATTAGTGTTTGCCACAAAAGATGGCAAAGAAATGCAATTTTCTTTGCGAATTGGATTTCACCCATTTTAATTTTCATAGTGCCGTATATAATATTTCGCGTAAAATAAAAATGTTTTTAAAAAAGCTTTTTAGAGTTGTGAAGAAGAATGTTGGTATTTCAATCATAAATAGTTTTTTAATGCAATAAAATGGAAGAACAAACAATTGTGAGTTACAAATAACAATACATTTTTATTCCTTCTGGTGTACTATTTGTTGTACGTATCATTTGGATCGGCTAGAACCACATATTCAACAATTATGTCTATTTACAAAGGTTAATAACTTGTAATATAGCAGAAAACACGACTTCATTAAGTGATTATCACCTAATATTACAATATTCTTCTTCGTCTTATGTTTCGAACTAATGCATCCAAAATAAAACAAGTAACTTATATATCACTGTCGTCTTATTCTGCCTTATTTAATTCAATATGTATTTAAATATGACGTATTTTATGGTAAACCTGTGTGACGTATGGTATAGTGTGAACTGCTTTGATTTCGTTTTCTTTTTTCCTTTCGTTCCTGTGACCTTTTTCGACGCAAAGTTAATTAAGAAATAACTACCCTCATATAGACGTCTGGTAGGATGGTTGGTCTGTCGTAGGGCTTCCGACACAACACACAAATAATCCGACATTTATCCGCGCTCCGAAAGGCTCGAGC